ACAGAACTTTTATTGATTGGAATCTATTTTTTCTATCCTTTAAAATCGTAAAAGCAGTTTTACTTTATAACAATATTTCCTAAGAATTATCTAATTGTAAATTAATTTTAAAAGATTTTAAGACTTTATAAATTATTCAATTTAAAATTGTAAAAAAATGAAAAAGATCGTAAAAATTCATTTTCGGCGATTTTTTCAGCAGACAATATTATCTCTAATATGTATTATCCATAAAAACAATTAAAAGATTCTTTAATTAAATAATGTCTTAGTTTTACTACGTTTTGTTATTATTCGATTCAGAACAAATTTTTGGTAGGACAGGGTCCGATTTTACAAAGAAAATTCAATGATTTAAATTCTTCAAAGAATTTTGGTATTAAATTCAATGTGATAATTTTTGTGACTATATAGTCACAAAATTTATCACGTTGAATTTCTCAAGTTTTCCTAAAATTAATTAAGAGTCTGCAACATACGTAAAAAATATCTTTATCGAGATTTTCTAATAAAAAAAAAAATAATTTAATGCATTTGTGAATAAATCCTGACAATTTCATTAAATCCGGCAATTATTTGATTTTTAAAAGAATTTCCAAATTAATATCAACGCAAAAAAGAGTCTAGAGTTCGCTATGGTAAATGTCAGTACATCCGCTGACGTAAGAAAAAACAAGTTGTTTAATCAAAATTTCGAATGTTCTAAAAAATTAATTAGATAATCAAAAAAAAAAAATACTTTGATCCTTCCTCTTAATAACAGAAATATTTTGACGATAAATCTGTTTTTCATCCGTTTGAAGCACTTTTCATTACGTTATGCTTTTTTTTAGCGTTTTCGTGGAGGTACCTACTTTTAGAGAATAAACTGAGGTTTGTTCTGATATCAGGATCGGAGTGATTTATTATCATTATCATGAGAGAGAAAAACGCCCAAAATGTGAAGCTGAGGCATAGGTATACAAAGCCATGATGTGCATGATTACCCAGTCGGATTAGGATAAAACAGTCCCATCTATTAAAGCCAAACGAACACGATATGGGGGAAAGGATTTGAAGATAGCAGAAGAAAACATCGCACGTGGGTCACAGTTTGAAATCCGGTAACGATGTTGGCTGAGAAGGACTGAAAATGTTCATAAGCATCTAGATGCGACAACCAAGCCGCCGTGTCCCACTTCATCCATTATAAATTAATTAAAAAGAATAATAAAAAACGCATTCGACAGCCGGCCACAATTTTTACCCCACTATCCTCTTCTTATGAAGAGATGTATTATTATTATTATTATTATTATTATTATTATTATTATTAATAATAATAATAATAAGAATGTCTGGGCGGTTAGCTTTTATTGTTCTGTCTGTGTGTATTGTGTAGTCCCATAAAATTGTTACAGGTCCTATCCCCGTAATCTTCTTTGGGTATTGTTCATACCAATTTCTTTCAGTTACTTTCCCGTAGAACTTGCTGATTTTCACACACGCACGCACGCACGCACGCACGCACGCACGCACAGAGGCAGGGAGGCAGGCACACACAGACACACACACACATACAGAAGCAGGCAGGCAGGCAGGCAGGCAGGCAGGCAGGCACGCACACACGCGCTTGCGCGAGCATCGATAGAGATACATTATGCTGAGAAGGAAACAAAAATGGACGGAAGGTTCCGCCGCAAGTGTTTATAATAATAATAATAATAATAATAATAATTATTATTATTATTGAATTAAATATCGATGAGAACTTTCATTCTTCGGTTTACTGAAATGTTGTTTTCATTAAAATTCAGATTTATCTTTCTTGATCAAGACTAGTTCAACTTTCACCCAGTTTTCGACAAAAAAGATATCGTTCTAATGCTATGTAATTGGTATTCTTATCACAGCAACAAAATACGTGAAAGTTGGCCATCAGTTCTACGCATGCGCACACGTCCATTTTGCCATATCCCGTGAAGCGCGTGTCAGGAAATCTAAATTTTTAATAGTCTTGATATTTTCTATTGTTCCGATGGGAGTTTTTCTAAAGAAAAAAAAAATGCCTAATTTTTTAAGACGAAAATGTGAGAAAAGCTTATTAGCTATTATTAACTAAGCTCATTTGAAGAGGAAATTAAATACAGTAAAAAAGATCCGCAGTCAAATTGTCTACAGGAAAGAACTTGGCGTTTTATTGTTGACTTTGGTTCAAATTAGCGAACAACGATTGACAAATTTAACGTCTGAATTTCACTACACGAAGGTGATCATGAGAAGTCGATGTTCGTAATACTGAATTAAAAACGATAAGACTTTAATTTAATTTACCCACTTACTAAGTGCTCTTAACAAGTATAAAAACTAAATGAAGTTTAGTAATAAGTTATTAGGTATATCTAAGTTCTAAAGTGTCTTATTTAAAAACTAGAAACCGAATACGCAGTTGATAACTGGCTACACTAGGTAAACTCTTACGTATATCTCATTTTTCATCTATAGTAAAAAAAAAAGACAGTAAGCCAGATAGTCTTTAAAAAGACCATCAGAAGAGACAGTTAGCAGGCCGTTCTGGCGGCCGTTTGCCTGTGGAAACTAATGGATTACAAGTAAACACCTATAATTAATACTGGATTTTTTAGAAGCTTATCATTAATACTAGATTTTTATTTTAATTTCTCAGTACTTCATTTCACACCAAGCAAGGTGTCTTCTAAGCATATCACCCCAAGCAAGGCGGGAGTACTGCTAGCATTCAAGGGGTTACAGATAGTGAGAGTAAAGAGGAGTGTATGAGGAAAGTATAAATAGAAGGAAGGGGATCAAGATCAATCATCAGAAAATGTCAATTGACATTACATTTGAATACTTGACGATTATAGCTATCATTGAAGCAAGTAAGAGGAAGGGAGTTCCACTGTCGGGAAGTGCGGGAAGCTGTGGGAGTTGAAGGGAAGGCTGCATTTAACCGTTTCGACAGTGAAAAGGGTAGGTCGTAGCACGCTTAAATTCATGCAATTTTGGTACCAGTGAAAGTAGCTCGTCAGAGCAGTTGCCATGAAAATATTTGTAGAAAAGACGATTGTAGACGAGGTGCTAAATTAGGACCTATCACATTGCATATCCGTCTCTGGATTTTGTTGACGACCTCGAAATGAACAGCGGGGTCACCAGACCATATATGGCAACGGTGTTCAAGGTAAGGACGAATGGTTCATTTTCAGATTTGAAGGATGGACTTAGGCGATAAAAAACCTTCTGGCGTGACATAGAGAACCACATTTCCTTGCAGTAGATGAAGCTATTGATTCAATGTAACTGTTCCACTTCAGGTCAGTGGACAGCGTGAGAGCAATTAGGCGCAGATAGACGCTCTCGTGAAGTTGTGTATCAGCCATTCTGACGGGAGGCAGGGTGGGATTCTCTATGGTGGTTAAATGAGGGCAGTTTTGTTTTGAAGGCGTTAAAGTTTACAAGCAATTTCCTGCCCAAGTTAACCAAAGATTAGATGTACTTTTCGAGACCAACGGCCAGGTTAGTATTGTCAGTGATCTCAAAGACGCAAGGGGTTACTGCGAGTGGAAGTGTATAAGTTAGTAAGGCGAAAGGACAATAAAAGAACAACATTAGAGAAAAAGAAAACCTGGATTGATGTTGCATGTAAGACCATAAATATGATTGGTTACGTTTATTTATGAGCTGTACTACATAAAATAAACGCGCCTTCTCCAAGAAAATACGATATTTCTTTACATTTACCTTAATAGACTCATCAAATTTCAAGGAAAATTTAATTTTACTGTATAATATACTAGTGCAAAATATTACTTCTCTTCCTGTTGCAGTTTAAATGGTAACTGCTGACTATTTCCAGGATGGAAGCCTAACCATCAAATCCATTCATTGTAGCTCTACATTCATCACTAAAATTTACTATTAAGAAATCTGTTTTTACATTTATTTAAAGTTGTTACTTTCATATTTTTTTTTTTTTTTTTTAGGATATAACTAACATTATGACTAATAATTTCTTTTTAGTCTATTGTATTTTTGACCTGAATTTTATTGGTTATTATTTTAATTTTTCTCAAATTTTGTTTTCAGACATTCTTCATAAAACCAGTTTTTCTTTTCTTGTACTTGGCAATTCTCACTTTTGTCTTCTAAGCCATGTTATTTGATTATTTCTATGAAAGACATAACCTTTAACCTAGTCATCAGATCCATCCAATGTAGTTCTACTTACATCACTAAAAATTACAGTTGAGAAATCAGTTTTTATTTACTTCACACAACTTATACATTTCTTCCTGTAATGTTTACAGGTAGGAATTTTGTTGATTTCATGTCTTTATCCAACATTTTTAATTTTCTGTATCTTTTCTGTTTACATTCAAAATACTAGGTTCTATAAATACTTTCATGCTTCTCAATCCACTTTTATTGCTGAGTACAATTTTACTTTTTTTAGACCTTCTTAAAACCAGTTTTTTTAGACCTAGTTAAAAACAATTTTTTTCTTTTCTTTGTTTCCACTATTTTTATTTTATTTTTTTATTGGTCTGTTATCTCTTTCAACTTGTTCGTAAGTTGAAAACTCGATTGCATCACTAAAGAATTTTTTATAACCTTTTTACACTTTCGAGGTTATATTTTTTTAACGAACCACAGCAATGTTTGCATAGAATAATTACATCCATAGTTGCATAGTCAAGGACAGGCTTTTTAAACATTTGTTACATGAGTTGATTTTTAGTTAGGCATTTTGATTGAAACCTAATAGAGATCTTGCTTAAGGTATCCCTATTACAGTGTGGAATCAAACTGCAATATACTCTCAGGGTTTTGAATTTAGAGTTTTGCTTCTCCTAGATTAGTTGCCAAACATGGCTAAAGCCAAGTCTGTCCTGCTATTTAACTCATAGCTTGGGGGGAAGAGATTGGTTCTTACTTTTCCCAAGTATATTTATTTATACGTGAATGTAATGAACACGACTAGAAATGGAAGTCCGCTCTACACCATCCGCATAGATAGATAGATAGATAGATAGATAGATAGATAGATAGATAGATAGATAGATAGAAAGAAAGACAGAAATAAAGGAAGAAAGAAAGTTTGAAAATGTAGATATGCAAGAGAAAAACACGAAATTGTAAAATTCAGTAATGAGAAGACAACATTGGAGTTAACTCGGTAGAATCAAAAATTGAAATTAAAACTATTTTCAAAATAACTGTAAATAAATGCTGGTTTTTAGAACGTCATAAAAATCTAACAAGCAAAAACATTTATTAAAAGAGATATAACGATTGAGTTATGGTCGCCTGGACGTGGCGTAATGGTTAGTCTCGCTAGATCAATTACGACTGAATAGGGAGTTCGATCCTCACTGGGTGCCAACATATTTTCGGCCTTGTGCTACATCTAAGCTACGCTTAGAAAATCATTTGGGCACCTCGAGGCGATCTAATTGTCATCAATATTGTCTCTAGAACAATAACGATTTAGTATTGCGTTCTGATCCTCACTTGGTACTCCATAATTTTGTCCTTGTACCACACCTAAGCTTGCCTTGAAAAATCACTATAACTATGGATTCATTTTTCTACTACCTCCTCTAAGATTTTTACGCATACTTGACTTCATTTTTCCTTCATTCAAATCTCTTTGAATTTCTGGATTGTGGATACATCCTTTTTTACATTAATTTACATTCGGACTCATGTCCTCGTCTGCGTTGTTGCTATCACGATGTTTCGTTTGCCGAACGCTAGAGGGCAACTCTAGCGTTCGGCAGATATCTCTTGTTCCGCGTAATGTTCATGGAATTTCGAAAAGAAGCCTTTTATCAAATCGACTCGGGTAGATTGTTCTCGTTCCGTTCATTGAGGTTCCGTTGACGGCAACGAGCTTATCCAAATAAACAATTGAAGAAGGGCCGGGAAGGAGTGTAGGGACGCAAACACTAAGAGCTACAAACAAAGGATAAGAAGTTGTAGAGAGCCATGTTTTTCAAAGTCTTAAGAGACCCCACACATAAAAGAAGAAAATTATTTTCTCTCTCTCTCGCTATCCCATATCTCTCTCTCTCTCTCTCTATATATATATATATATATATATATATATAGTTTATGCAAAACTAGGTAATCCTCATGGATAGAACCAAGGAGGATGATATCCGGAGAGCTCAATGTAAAATTCAGAGCAGATATGTTTGAATAAAAACAGACCACTTTAAGGTTCCATGTAATAAGCTATTTCACCACAACCCCTTTAACAGGGCTCTGGATCATCAGATATTACTTCCAAAGGTTGAAATGAAAATTTTGTTTCATTTCAACCTTTGGAAGTAAAGTCTGATGATCCAGAAAAAAGGTGAAATATTTATTACATGGAACCTTAAAGTGGTCTGTTTTTATTCAAATATAATATATATATATATATATATATATATATATATATATATATATATATATATATATATATAGTACGCCCACGGAATTTTCGATACTTAATGTTTTAAAATGAATTTTTTTTTAAATTGGAAACGTTCCTGAAGATTTAATTTCAGCTTTAATTGAAAGCTAAATTAAATTAAATTGACTATTTCCAGTAAGTAAAATATTATGGTGAATTTCAAATAGAAATTATATAAATCAAAATCTCAACATTTTCAGAAAAAACGTCTTAAAACCGGCTATTTTTTTAATCTTAAGAAATTTGTAAACAAAATAAAAATATCGGTTTTAAAAATCTTACAAAAATAAAATATATATTTTTGACACGTTATATGAGTAAATTTTGTAAATTAAAAGTTGAATAAATATTTTTTTAATATCTGTCTATATTTCTGAGATGAGGTATTATGTACACTATTTACATTATTCGGACTATTGTCCACATCTTTGTTGACATATTTATCATAACGTTCCGGCCGTTGTACGCTCCGGCGTTCTTCAAGTGGTTGGAATGTAGAACTGAACACTTTATTTCGCTATCTTGGGGTAGACTGTTCTAATTCCATGTGCCATGTCTAATGGATGTCAGTTATCAATTATCTCCTGTTATTCCCCCTCTCCACGTACTCCACTGCCTTAACCGGGTATTATACTCTCTGGGTCCTGCCACTGGAGCTAACCAACGCCTTTATCCACTGTGCCATGTGCCCTTAAGGACACTAATAACATAAAAAAAGTAAGGGGACCCGTCATTAAGAAATTGCTTGTATATACAAGCAATTTCTTAATGACGGGTCCTGTTTTTCTTTTATCTTTATTGACGAATGGATAAGTTCCGAGGTGATGAGAGTTATTATGGATGACCAAAATTGACGTAAAGTGAACGCATTTTGTTTTTGGTTTTTAACTACCTCGTAATTTTTACAAATTAACATATTTTCAGCAATTATTTAATATTTTATTTACTTCGTTACGTTTCCAGATGCTTTTATGAAATTTGGGTTTCGTCTCTAGGTTTTTAAGTTAAATAACTTAAACAAAAAAATTACTTAACTGAATATGATTCAAACTAAAATAAATACAAAAAATAAATATATTCATTGAAATAGTAATTAAAAAAAATGAAACTGAAATTTTGAAGGGAAGGTTTGCAAAAACGTAAATGATGAATCAGAACTGAAGAATGAAATTGAAAGAATTGCAGAGTGCCAGACGACTCTTAAATCACGTGACCTTTTAACATTTATGGCTTACCATAGTCGAAATTGGGAACGTTTATACACTCAAATTAAAAAAAAATGCCAAAAATACTGGGGTATAAACGACTGTTATGACCTTTTCAATTTTTGATTCGTATATGTACTTAACAATATTAGCTAACCGCCGCTTTGAAGTAAAGCAGAATTTTAAACGATTTTTAATATTACAAATAATTTAAATAAATTTAAAAAAAAATTCAAGCAATTCTTGTAAAAATTAATTATTCATCGAAAAAAAATTCTTCATACGACAATAGTTTCCTTAATGAATCTTATTTTTCAAAACAACTAAAAGCTTTTCTAATTAAATAATATAGTTTTATTGCATTTTTTTATTTTACAGTTCAGAGCAAAGGGGTAACTGTTACAAAATAAATAAATAAATAAATAAAATAAAAAAAATGAGGATTTTCATTCTCCAAGAAGCCCTGATTTTAACTAATAAAAAAAAATACCCGCCCTATTATATACAAAACGAAAATGTCATTGGTTTATCAAGCATTTTAAATTTGAGAAATTTCATGAATATTCATCACCTTTCAGCCACCTGATGAATATTCATGAACTTTCTCAAATGGAAAAGCGTTTATAAACTAATGACATCGTTGCACTTGTATATAAACATGTACAACAAATATAAATTAACTGATTTAAAAATATGGTTCCATCGCTACACAGGAATTACCATGTTTCAAAAGCAGAAACTAAATGATCAAATTCAATTATGTAATTAAATTAAAGGCCCAAGTTCTGTTTAATTTACAAGCGAATTTTGGAATTTACCTTGAGCATTGTATTGTAAAAATAAAAAATATTAATAACACCAGATTATATATGATACTCTCCTTTCTTTTATCATAATATATATATATATATATATATATATATATATATATATATATATAAATCATGCTCCAATCATGCTCCAAACTTCCTCCAACGAAGAATAATATATGGACCCCACCAAGCGGACGTAACCAACACTTGGATCAATATGCCCACAAAGCCAGACAACACATGGATAACTTCTTAAAAACAAAGGACACCAGATAAAAAAATACAACTTATCAAAATAGAACACCAAGCCATCTATACTCTTAAAAACAACCGAGACATAATTATCGTACCAGCCGACAAGGGCGGAGCTATAACCATCTTAGACAGTAACCACTACATTAAAGAAGCAGAATCACAACTTCAAAATAACAGATTCTATGTACCCTTACCTCTAGACCCAACTAGCACATTCAAAACAGAATTATCACTTCTCACTCAGAACCTGAACTACAACATAAAAATACCATAAAATCTCTTATTCCTGAGAACCCTAAAACAGCAACATTCTACACTATCCCAAAACTACATAAACTCCCCAAAATCCTTTCAGAAAAACACCCTAACGCTTTTCCATCCGACCCACATCAAATTATACAATCAAATAATGAAGAGAACATCTATGAAATTTCAAAACCCCTTAAAATCATGCCACCTGGTAGACCCATAATATCAGGCATTGGTACCCTCGCAGAACTTATATCTGGGTACATAGACAATATCCTAAAACCTTTATTGCCTGACATACCTAGTTATATTAGAGACACTATTGACTTTCTCAACAAATTACAAAACATTAACTTAGTCCACCATGATACAATCCTAGTAACGATAGATGTTTCGTCCCTTTACACGAACATTCCACATGTTGAAGGAGTATCAGCTTGCTATGAGTTCCTTAGTAACAAAAAATTACCTAACTACCAAATTACAGATATATGCCAATTAATAAATTTCATCTTAACACATAATAATTTTAAATTCAACAACAAACACTATTTACAGATTAGTGGCACAGCAATGGGCACAACAATGGCACCTAGTTATGCTAATATCTTTATGCACATTCTAGAAAAGAAGATACTAGACAATTCAGAATATAAACCATCACATTACTTTAGATATATTGATGACATTTTCTTACTATGGACTCATGGATCAAAAAATTAAAAACCTTTTCACTTTCTGCAACAATTTCCACGATACAATTAAATTTACCATGGAGCACTCATACACATCCATCCCTTTCTTAGACGTTATGATAAAATTAAACAAACATACACTTTCTACCAGTCTATACAACAAACCCACAAACCAACATAAATTCCTGCACTTTAACAGCTGTCATCCCTTTAAAAAAAAAAAATCTATTGTATACAGCTCATTTTCTAAGAATCAAACGCATATGCGCAGACCATTTAGATTTTCTATACAATATTAATAACTTAATAAACAATTCCTAAAATGCAAATACCCAATAAAAATAATAAAAGAAGCACTAAATAAAACTATCCTGATAAATCGTAACACATTTCTTACATACAAGAAAAATAAAAACAACAATCGGATTCCCATGGTTTTTAACCACAATCTATATTCCCACACACTTATTCACAATTTAAAAAATGATTACAAGAACCTCCAATTAGACAACAAGATCAAAGACATTTTTGATAAACCACCCATAAATGCAATGAAACAATCACCTAACCTATCAGCTATCCTCACCTCTACCAAATATCTAAACAATAGAAACCAAACAGGAAATTACAAATGTAACAAACCTCGTTGCTTAGTTTGCAAACATTTAATAATAGCTAATACATTTTCCGTACCCAACACCAATATCAGGATACAGCCACCTAAACTCACCTGCGATAGCCATAACGTAATCTATTATTTATTCTGCAACTTATGTCCTAATAGTGGATATATTGGTGAGTCTGGAAACAATTTTAGATTTCGTTTCAATAACCATAAACAAACAATACGTCAAAACAACCCTTATTCCCTCATAGCTAAACACTACAATCAATCAGGACACACATTAGAAAACTGCAAATGTTTATTAATAGATTCCGATTTTACTTCCACATTCACACGCAGAAAAAAAGAAACATATTGGATTTTAAAATTAAATACACATAAACTAGGTTTGAATAGGGACTTAGGTGTTTTAAGACTTTATAAATATTTCAATAGTTAAGCAATTTTTTTAGATATAGTAAAAAATTTTTTTAAAATATTTATGACAGTTAGATTTAAGTTAGGAATATCCGAACAGTGACGTTCCATGTCACGTGACGTCCGCGTCTCGCGAAGGACGCTACTTGCTAACAAACAGTAATTTTAATTTATTTGTAACAAACAGTTATTTCTGATGAAAAATTGAGGACAATTTGAAATATCAAATATATATATAAATAAATAAATACTTTCATAAAATAAAACATTATAATTTTTAATTTGAAACTTTTTCTATATATAAATAAATATATATATATATAAATAAATGTCTATATATCTATATGTAAATAACGTTAGATATACACGCACACACACATATATATATATGTATACACACACACGCAACACACGCACACACACACACGCACACACACATATATATATATATATATATATATATATAGAGAGAGAGAGAGAGAGTGAGAGTTGGTGCATAATTATCAGACATTTTAAAACAATATTTATTACGAGAAAAGAACATAATTCAACAATAACCTTTTTAAATGACTATGTTTATCGACGCATATTTTTATAACCTGAAAATAAAAAGTTTTTATTAACAATTTGTACACAAAACAGCAACTTTTATTAACAAATAACTCACCTACAAGAGCGACTGGTAAATATGCACCAATATATATATATATATATATATATATATATATATATATATATATATATATATATATATATATATATATATGTTGCTAGCTTTTTAAAGTCTCACACAGATCACCACTGCGTTCGGTGTCCGATTCGACATATTTCACCAAAGATGGAAAATAAAAATGGCGAAAATTGGAAAATATAGCAGAAGGCGAGAAATCCAATGTCATCATGCGTAATTAGAAACGTATAATAACTCTTTCACTGTGGATGACAGAGATAACGCTTTCTGACATGTTTCTCGGTAGCCTTAACAAACCATTAACACGATGTCGGTTGGTGTCAAGCCATTCTTGCCAACCCAATACATCGGTGACCTTATGAAGTAGCCTTTCGCGCCACTTCTTGGCTGTGCCGCAGTATCTGAATAATATATATATATATATATATATATATATATATATATATATATATATATATATATATATATATATTTGCGATTCTGTCTTTGTCTAATTCATTCCTCCTTATTTGTCTCTCTCATTCTATATCATTTATTTAGGAGGCCAGTTTGTGTCTGAATGTTAGCAGCCTATGAGATGACGCAGGCTTTTTTTAGGTATTAATATTGGCCGCAGCTGATAGAAAAGTCGCAAATTTAATGCTGCACAAGCCATATCGTTATCAAAGCGGTCGCTATTACCGCGAAAATATTCTTTCTCTCTGTCTATCGCATAAACACACACCCTCTCTAGTTATATCTCCTCTTTTCTGTCTCTCTCTTTAATATATAAATTCTCTCTACATCCATTTCTCACATACATTCTCTCTCTATCCCCCTCGCTATCTACCCCTCGTATTCACATTCCGTCTCTCCCTAAATCTCTTCTTTCTCTCTCAAATACATATTCTTTCCTTCCCTTCCTCTGTCTGATTTACAAATTCCCATTCAGTCGTTCATTTGCTTTTTCCTTCTACATTCCTCTCCGTATTTATCGCATATACATTCTCTCTACTTCCCACTCATTATCTCAAATACATATTCTCTCTTTCCCTCCCTTTGTGTCTGACTTACGAATTCTCATTCATTCGCTTCCTTTCATTTTGATATACACGTTTCCATCTGGGGAGTTAGGTGGCCAGATGTAGAGTGAAGTGGTCTCAGAAATTATCTGACAGCCATAACTGAGTTCTCCTGCTGGTGTGGCATGGTGTAGTGCCCTATTGTTAGATGTAGGGTCTTCCAGCAGCCACCCTCTTGTCCGAGAGCAGCACTACCTTCTCAAGGCACTTGATATAGACCTCCGTGATAATTCTGAGGCTCTCATCAAACAAATTCGGGTGTTCTTTATTTAATCAGAACTAATGAGTTTTCCGAAGCGGACGTACATTCTTAATCACTATGAGACTCATTGAACTCTTTCCGAATCCTCTACCCTCTCCTAGGAGTGACACCCCCCCCCAAATACTCTGAAATGTTCGTATTTGAACTTCCGGCGCGAATGTCAAGCAGTAATGCATTCTGTTTCCATAATTTCTGGAGGAATGAATTGCGTCATGGTTCTCTTTTTCTCACAGATGGTGCCCAACTGACCCTCCTATACTGTGCATTTGGCAAAATAAAAAAAAACAACAAAAAAAAACAAGGCGCATGAGTGAAAATAAAAATATAAAATTGCGATAATTTATCCATCGTACCCTGTATATTAAGTAAGTTAACCTTATTAATCGTAATATAAGATGTGTAGTAAGATTGTGTTGTCCTAATTTTTCAGATTTCTAAAATTTGATTGTAAATGAGTATTTAAAATCCTGTTATTAATTACCCTTACGAAAAAAAGAAGATCAAATCAAAGGAAAATGAGTAATGGAACCGTTTAACCAATTTCCAGAATTGGGAGAGTTTATCCTGAAACTTAATATATATAAATATTGTTATTTGCTAACTTTACCTTGGTAGGGTACAGGGTGAAATAGAAGAATATTAGAACAGAAAGTATGTGCAGCGCCAATACCGAAGATGTGGATATCCCCGCCGCTTTTAAAATTTCTATTTGCAAAACATATTCAGCTTCTTCTCACAACCGCCAGGAAATACTAACTTATATTTTGGCTACAGTTGAAAAAGAACATATCAGTGACAACATAATAATTTATAAAAGGTTAATGATTTAAGAGTGTCGGTTGAAAAGTTTATACGCTGACCAAGATATTCTCATGGAATGTGACCAGATGAGGTTTATTTTTCAATATAGTCCCATTTACGGTCTACACATTTCTTCCATCGGTCCTGCACTGTTCCCATTAGTCAATAAGCCTTCATCCTTTTTGTCATTATTATCGCTTTTCTCTGGCACACCTTATTACTGGTTTCCATATTTTATTCAGAAATATAGACATATATTGAAAGTTTTACACCACAATATCAGTTTAGACCAGCGTTTCTCAACCTTTTTACCTTTGCGTAACCCTTAAAATAAATTACATGTATCAAGGAACACCTGCGCAAAAACAAAATTATATGCCATATTTTATTTTTTATCGTAGTCGACGTGGTAAGTATCATAATACATATTTTTGAATAACTGGTTTAAGGTAAAATTAATAGTTCTTTATCAAATTTTTCGGTAATGCTAAATAAAATTCATACTGTTCGTTTATAATACTTCATCAGAGAATTTTCATTCGCATTAAAATTTTTAAACTCAAACGTAAAAAATAAACATAAGCAACCAATATCATATGCCTATAATACAAATGTTTGGTTTGGTTTGTTATGTTTTACGGCTTATCAACCTCAATGGGCTATTTAATGCTGACAATTTTCATTGTTGGTAATAGATTTTTTCCAAAAATCTATTACTGGTAATATTTTTTTTTTCAAAAAATATATTGCTGGTAATATTTGCTGTTCAAAAATGTATTACTGGTAACAATTTTTTATACAAAGTATTTCTGGTATTAAAACCCAATTTTACACTTTCATAATGCTTTGGTCCGAGTTTGGGGGAGTTAACTATTTGCCCATAGCTGGGACCCTAACAGGTGCTACCACCCCGGGTCAGGGTCGACCTGGGAACATCAGCAATTAAGAGATGGTTCCACGCTCCTCAAAACCGACTGATCAGCGGCCTTGCTGTTGGACGTGGTTTATCGTCTTACCCAGGACGTGGATGTAGTTTATCGTCATACCCAGGACGATAATATAAATGTAAACAGAACAAAAACAGATAATTGCTACATCAGTTTTTTTAAAAAGAAATTATCCTTTACTGGCAATTGTTGAAAAGACATAAGGTAAATCAAGGCAAAATGTCCTGTGAACCAATAAATGGGCTAAGAAAATGTTACTTTCAAAGCCATTTGCTAAATTGAAACATGCTTCCCTAATTGCTACACAGATACTTAATTTGAGGTTGAAATTTAGATAACCATACACGGATTTCATTCTCAATTGAGAAGAGATGATTTCTGTCTTTGCTCTTGATATTTGTTAAATAAGAAAAGGCTTGCTCACACATGTAAGACGTTGAAAACTGAAACAATTTATTAATTTCTTTCCTATGATTAGTAGGAAATTCTTATTTCTCAGAAATTCAGAACACAGAAATACATTGTGTGTGTTTAGTAACATTACATATAAGAAATTAAATAAAACGTTAAAAGTGCATTAGCTTATCTTACCTGTTCTCGCGGAACCCTTGGGGACCTTTTGCGGAACCTTAGGGTTTCGGGGAACGAAACGTTGGTTTAGACTAAGCACGTCTTAACTGTATATATTTATTTTTATATGTGTGAAAATCAATTAAATATTAAAATTTTTCATTCTGTTGTCAACGTTTCGCCCAATGAGAACATCATCAAACAACTGAAATAATTGAGGAAAAATTATTGAAACACCTTTACTTGCTAAAATAATGCTGACAGAAAATACACTTATTCGGACTAATGGGCACATGGCACAGTGGATAAAGACTTTGGTGAGATCCAGTGACAGGACTCAAAGAGTGTGTATTACATACCTGGTTAAGGCAGTGGAGAACTTGGAGAGGGGAATTAACAGGAGATAACTGATAACTGACATCCATTACACATAGTACGTGGAAATAGAACAGTCTACCCCGGTGAGCGAAATAAAGGGTTCAGTTCGACATTCCAACCATCTGAAGAAGGCCGGAGAGTACAACGGCCGAAACGTTGTGATAAATATGGCAACAAAGATAAGTACAATAGTCCGAATAATGTAAATAGTAGAGGTTTTCAAGTTGCAATGAAAGATAAGATCCTGTGTAAGGAAAGTGCTTTACTATATGAGGAAGATGCAGTAAAAAATCTTTATTCGATTTCACCGATTAAAAGTTAGATTTATGTCACCTTCCGCTACTGAAGTCGATAACATCGACTGAATTTATAATAAATCCATTCTGAGGAGAATTCTGTTTTTTTCCCCTGTATTATTAAAAAAAAAAATAAATAAACAAAAACTTTCTGACCCCAGAAATTGATAACGATATTTATTTCAACACACTTCTCATTCCGGCCTAAACACACAAGATATTAAAAAGAGGCGGAACGGGTTGGCTAAAGACCTTAGCTGTTTTATCGCGCCACTGCTTTATGCACACACGGACACACACACATACACGTGCAGACACGCACACGCACACGCCATATATATATATATATATATATATATATATATATATATATATATATATATATATATGTCACACATTATGAAATAGACAAAGTCCGACAATTATCTTAAGATATTTTTATGCTTATACATTTTTAAAGATACAAATATTTAAGTAAATGCTCTGTTTATAATAAACAGTATTAAATAACATTTACCGGACTGAATATGCGAGAAATTTTCACAGAAAATATTCGTCTTAAAATATCTTAAAAATATATATATGTATATATATGGCGCGTGTCTTGTGTTTCTTATTTCTTTTTTTCTATTTTATCTTGCTGTCTTACTTTGTATATAGCAACAATTCTTGATTTAGGGACAGGTGCATAGGATAAATAATAAATACGACACGTTTACAAAGCTAAAATAAACATGTTAGATTGATATATGTTTCCTATTTGCTCATCCAAATCACCTGAAGAAAGCCGGAGCGTACAGCGGCCGAAACGTTGTAATAAATAAATATGGCGACAAAGATAAGGACAATAATCCGAATAATGTAAATATTGGACATAATACCTCATCTCAAAAATATAGACAGTTACAGAAAATAATATTTAAATGGATAGTTGTTAAATGCTTTAATAAAAAAAAATTATATTCTTTTTGTTTTAATTTGATTCTCTATCTTCTTTAATACGTAAATAATATGATTTTAATTGTCATTTGTATTATTTGTATTTAGAACTTTCTTTTTGATTTATTCTTTCTTGTTATAAGCCTTTTTTTTATTTACCGACATCACTATATTTTACATTTATTTTCTCATTTTCCTAGAAAGAAATCGAATTTATTTCTCCTAATCTAAATCTATATAGAGGCGGTTCTCATTTTTGCTGAAGGTATCCCTCCTTGATTCATCATGTCTTCAGGAGTATAGATGTACACAGAACCCTTGACCAATTTGTTTAACCTGTTGTTGATTTTGATTTTACATTAATCATTCTAGACCGGTAACCACACAATCTACTCTGCTCTTTACCTATGTAGGTAAGAGATCAGATCATACCTTTAGCAAACTGAGTGAATGTAACCAACTCGATCAGAATTCGAAACCGGCTCTACGATTCCTTAATCCGAACTGCTGCTAACCGTTACTGCACTTTGTCACTTATTCCTCTACATATATTTATTTTAATTCTTTTTTTTATCCGTAGGGGCACCAGGTGTACTGTAGTAGAAATTGTGTTTCTTGGACAAGATAGCCTGACGGAGCCCAACGCACCCAGAGTTTTTCCTTTTCCTAAATTGGTTGCGAAAGCTATAGAATCTAATCTGACATGCTATTTAGCCACAGGTGGGAGGAGGAGAAAATTCATACCTTTCCCCATACCACTAGCAAAATTTTTTAAGAAAGTAAATCTAATGGATACAAATGAAATTCGAACTTGGCTCTTCCGATTCCTCAATCCAA